GGAGACTGAGGGGAGAGCTCACTGCAGTTACAACTTCCTTGCGAGAGGAAGAAGAGGGGCAGGCACTGATCTCTTCTCTCTGGTGACCAGTGACATCACCCTAGGGAATGGCCTGAAGTTGTGTCAGGGGAGGTTTAGGTTGGGTATTAGGAAAAGATTCTTTATCCAGAGGATCATTGGGCACTGGAAAAGCTCCCCAGGGCAGTGCTCACAGTACCAGCCTGACAGAATTCAAGAAGTGTTTGGACAGTGCTCTCAAGCACAGGGTAATTCTTGGGGTGTCCTATGTGAGCCAGGAATGGGATTTCAATGGTCCTGGTGGGTCCCTTCCAACTCAGGATATTTTATGATACTATATTAATCGTCAACACATTCCACAAGTCCATTTACCTGAATATTAAATTAAACAAGACCAAAATTTCCCTAAAATACATTTTGACAGTTATTTATTTCTTTCAGCTTGATAATTTATTGACTCAAATTTAAACTCAAATACTGTAACTAAACAAGAGCTTTCACTCTCCATTGAGTATCGCTATTCACTGGCAAATAAGAAAGCAACAGATTTCTTTCACTTTAAATTAAAAAAAAACCAAACCCATTGTCTTAGAATTCAAGGACCAAAGTTTCCTGAATTGACTTGCAACTAGAAGGATTTCACCTGGAACATGTCTGAAAGACTCAAATTTCAGAGAAGATGCCTATGCATTCAAAAACCAGAGGCAGTTAGCAAGCAGTACATGTTTTTTACTGGGTTCTTAATAATTCAAATCACCCACCTCATAAACTCACCAGGTGGCACTGCATACACATCAACCAGCAACAACTTTTGCATGACCAGAAATTCAAGATGGCTTAATAAAATACACCCTGAAGCACAAAGTATGTGCATATATTTGTAGCCTCGCATAATCATTTCTTACAATAAAGCTATTGGAAACTTCTGTCTGAAGCAAGGATAATCTGTTTGTCAACACAATTTGCAGTTTCAGGAATTAAGGAACACAAGACCAAGTAAAAGCTGCTTTAAGTGTATGCCTGTTAAACACAAACTCATACATCTTTATGTAGGAATCACGGTGTAATCATGAGGCAAATTACTCATACAAGTAAGAACTATAAAGAAGTATCTGAAAAATTGATTAATATAGTAATACATTAGGAACTCTGTAACTGTGATAAGTGTTTTAGAAATAGTGCCTTGTAAAGATGTCAGCTTATGGACTTAAATGTCTAGCTAGCATGATACTTAGGCAATTGATTTACACACACAGGATCCAATATGAGGATTTCAGTAAATCCTTTACGTCATGTTTGAAGATGATACTTAGTTAAGATCATAACAGGAGAATTATAAACTGTACATTCATCCCCATAAGAAATAAAAATGAAAATAAAGTCAAGTCCTTTGCTGGAGAGTTGTGAAACATTCTAGTCTGATTTGGAAGTGTTTCTGCTCTCCAGTATATAGTATTTGTAAAATGACTGCTATGTACCTTAAGAAAAAATAACTCTATTTGCATAACTACACTAACCCATGGACAAAGATAATCCTTTAGATATGAAGAAAGTTCAAAAACCAGAGGCAGTATGGGTCTAGGTCTGTTCAGATTATGATCCTGATGAGGAAGCGCTACTGTTTTTAGCACAAGTACTTTGCAAATCATTCTAGCCTATACGTAGCACAGGCAGAACCACTGGGCGACTTCATGGGGAAGGAAGGAGCTGGGTATGCAAGGGGTGCTTACCTACTAGAGGGCAATTGTTTGAAAAGCTGAATCACCATCAGAACACTCTCAGTTAGGACTGCACCGAGTGGTAGTGCTTCCAAGCAATTTGAACACCCAGAAGAATGCTAAAATAACTGAGCTATTCACACTGGAACCATTCTGGCAGCAATTCTAAGTAATACTTGCATAAAGAAATGCACTGTAATCTGCAATTGATGTGGCATCTTCTATTTCAAGTAAATTCACTCAAGTAAATATCCTGAAGGCATTTAACCTGAACTGTCAGCCAGAAGTTACTTAGTCCCTATGCTGTTTTCCAACTCTAATACAGTATGTAGACTTCAATAGAGAGAAAGAAAATTAGGCTGTAAAGGAACTTTTTATATGGACAGATATTCTTACAAACTTACTTTTGTGCCGTTAAATGTCAAAGGATTTTTTCTATTGTCCTCCTTTAAAGGCAAGTGTATAATCTATGTTTTGCAAAAAGAAAGGGACCGGCTAATCTAGAGCTTTTCCTCAGACTAGATGAATTTTCTTTCAGTTCTAATGTAATTTTCATGTTAAGAAAATTCTACATATATTAAATACAGCACCAAAGAATTATTTACTATGCACTCTTAATAATCCATTAAAAAAGCAATTTGCAATGATATCGCAATTTTCTTAATATTAAGAAATAATAGCAGAAAGTATGTAGTAATAATTTACTAGTTTTCATTTTGCAAAAACTAAGCATTTTTGTAAAATGAAAATTATCTTATATCCTAATTAGAAACTCACTACTTAATCCAGGCTAAAGGTAGCTAAGGATATCTCATCTTGCAAAAATGCTCCTTTGATGAGATTAATACAAACCAAAATTCTCAAATCTGGATTAATTTAAACAAGCAAAAGTATACCTATACACATTTAAAGCAGGAATTGAAATGAAGTAGAGTTAGTGCTTGTGCTTCAGATTTGGTCATAAATTCCCTTACAGAATATAGTCAGAACATGCATCACTAAATATTAGAAAACCATTTGAAAGCAGTTATCTACTTGTTAATAGGTTTCCTCCATTTTTACACACTCCTGTCCCAAAACTTGATTATCAAAAAGATGTACACACACACAGACACTCCTAGCTGGATAACAAACAGATATTTTCTAAGCTAACAAAAAGCCCAATGCTAAATTGAGGGGGTAGAGTCAGGGGGTGGCAGTGGGGGGAGGGGAAGGATTTTGCCAAATTTGCAAAATTCAAGTCACACATCTAGCACCAAAATATTAAGCCACCAAAAAGCAGAGACTGTTCTTCAACACATGGCCATACATAGTTAGCAAGTACTTAATCCAGGCTAATCAAAAGGTTTAATTTTTTTTTAATTTCAGCTTAAAGAAATGAAGCTCATTCCTGCTTTTGCTATACAAAATCTTTTTTTTTTTTCCACATTAAAAAAAGACATCTAATAAAAACAAATGAAACAACATTGCCAGTGCTCGCTGGGCAATGGCTAATCTCACTTGGATACATCCTTTAAATGAAATATTCAAGATACAAGGGCTATCCAAATTAACTTACAATGACAATTTATTATAAGAAATAGGCTAATGCATTACCATTTAGTTACAAGACTACAAATATGAGTTTGGCCCAAAGCCCACTAAAGTGAATGGAAAATCCCCCACTAGCTTCAGATGACTTGGGATCAGTCCCTATAAGAACTACAAGAAGAACATTCCATTTTAGGTGATGCAGCTACACAACAGTGGTTAATAAAGTCAGTGTGAGTTTTTAGTGGTTGGAGCTTTTTTTCAGGAAAGAGTTGTACTGGACTACTGTGAAGCAAATAGGTTTATCTGTCCAATATGTTATTAAAAAAAAAAAAAAAAGAAAAAAAAAAAGCTGAAGGTCATATAGTACCTAGGCCCTCAGGGCATCAAAAGGCTGTGAGTAGTCTCATATTATGTCACACTAATATAATAGGAAAAACCATAGCAAGAATTCTCCTTGTCTCAAGCAGTAAAGTTAATTTTTCTGCAATCTTTTACAAAGCATTTAGAGATGAACATGCTCAGCTAGCAGGCAGTCACTGCCACCAAAGCTGTCCAGCACTGTGCATTTGGGATTTGGGAGGCTGAACTTCCTGAAGGTTCCTGCCTCTGGCAGCAGGAGGGAGATTTTCAGTGACTGCTTGCATCACTCTCTACCTATGACAATGAATGTCACCTACTAATGAGAACCAAAGATGGCATTCACAAATGATGAACAACATGTTTCCTAAATTATACATCTTGGTGAAAGAGTTATTTAAAAATATATACTATTTATATGCTTAACAGAAGTAATTGAAAGAAAAAAGATTTTTCAAATAATAAAGTGGCTTATCTTTATTGTATGAAACAGCCATATCACAAAAAATGCAAAACCTCATTTGCATTTCTTATAGCAAATTTCTGTATGGGCCTTCTTCCACATCAAATTACTTGCAGGTTTGTACATCTTCAATTCAGTTTCCACTCCTTCAAAAATGTAATGTTTACCATTTTTTCTGAATTCAAATATTGCACAAAAAGCAAAGGAAATTGGCTAATGGACTATACAAGAATAAGCTATTAAAACTGGCTGTGTAAAGTAAGGAAAAAAAATGAGAAAAAATATTTTTGTCTCTAGTCACTGCTTGTTTCTTGAACCAATAAAAGACATAGAATTTCTGATAAATTCTGATATTTAATTTGAGGGAACTGACTGAAGTACTAGACTGCATTTTCTTCTGATAGCCAAAGTCTTGTATCATGCAAAGTGTAAAAATTAAACTGGATAGAAAAAGCTGCAAGGTATTCTAACATTCAAATAACAAAAGAACAAATATTGGACTCACTGTCATTTGAATTATTACATCAGAAACTAAATTTTAAATGTATAATTTATTTTATGCCAACCAGAATCTACATCTTAAATCTACATTACCTCACTATCAAGTTGCAGCTGATAATTAACATTTAAAAAAACATGGAGATAACTAGATGCAAAGAAAAGGCTATGCAGACATTAAATTCAAGTTAAGATCTCTGTTTCTTAGAGACAATTAATAATAGGGTTAAATCACAAGTTTAGCTTCCAGAGTCAGAGAAACAATAGCATTACTCCCAAACCTTAAAAAAAAAAAAACACAAAAGACCAAGGATTTAAATGCAGAGAATATTTTTTTCATTACCACCATTACCATAATAGAAAACATATTTGTGAATGTACAGAAAAACAGAATTTTAATCCAGTATACTTACATTATTGCATTCTCCCAGGAAATATAGTGCAAATCCATCAGCTTTTGTAGCTGTCAAAGCAATAACAAAAGAAATAATTGTACTCACAGGGATAAATCAAATGTGTACAACATCTTTGAGGTGAAACCACAGATTCAATTCCACTTAGGACAAACATCTACCATTCAAAATGTTAAGGTCTTCTGCTATATTCCCTAAAACTTCCAAGAGTCTATAAAGTTAGAGGTTCTTGCTTTCTTCATTGCCATTTACAGCATTTTAAAAGATAATTAGAAACAACTTCTTCATATATCTATACTCCAAGGCCTAATATCTGTAAAAGCAAGTTAAGTCATGCAATAGAAGTAACACAAATAAGTGCATTTACAATATAATCCGTCAGATATCACTACAATTTCTATGAGTAAAATAAATGCCAATTGTAAATGTTAAGATATATTTGTCCTTGGCTTAAGAGAGAAAATCATGGGAAAATGAGGAGTTACAAATACTCCTATAAAAATGTGTTTCCAAACAAACTGCTTCTATTTTCTGCGCTTAGCCCATATTAAAAATAGTGACACTCACCAGAAAGTTTATGCTTTATAGATTTCTGCCAGGTTCAAAGTGTTGTATGAAACAGGGTAAAGTCAAGTTCCTTAAACTCTCAAAAGCTTAGAGTCAACCAACGATCATAACTTATCCTCAAAATCAGAACAATATATAACAGAAAATGTTTTTCATCCTGCTTTACACAACAGGCTTGGATCATGTGTCTTTCCAAAAGTTAATAAACATTCTAAAAAGAGAGTAAAAAGACATATCTGGTAACTATTGTTTTATTAATGAACTAAAAAGTCTTTTTAGTACATTTCAGGGGAAGAAATTTTACTTGTGTGCAATCAAATCAAATGGCTTTCTTAATTTCTTTGACAAAAGGAAAAAAGTTCCACTGTGTAGTCACTTGCTTGTTGTCAACTGTGCAGCATTATTAAGAGTTGAGAGCACAGTAATTTGCATTCTGATTTTAAATCCTTCAGCTGTAGTACCTACATATATTGTCCTACAAAGCAAATGAGTCCTGTAAAGGAAATAATATAGTAAAAAACCTCCCTTCCGCTATACAAAAGAAAAAAAAAAAAGTAAATACACAAGCACTCTGTATGGTCCAGTCTCACTTGCTGTTTGTTAACTAAATTGATTTGCTGTGAGTTAGACATTAATATCCAAATAATAGCCTAAGCAAAATCAGCAGATTTTGCAGAGAAAAGGTTATTTTAAAACATCATCTATATAAACCAGAACGATTACTCATCATTACAAAATTATGAAGTAGCTGGGACAGTAAAACGTTTCTAAAGAGCTGGCTTAATCTACTGTGACACTTCCTATTGAAGTCTGAGTACATCCACTCAGGCTAAAAAGAAGCCAAATTACACTTATATTGTTATTGAGAGTGTTTTGTTTATTTTTAACTTTTGATCATATGCAGTATTTTCTTACCACAAAAGGTACTTACATCAGATAGAAAAAAATAGCTAAACAACCGAGTTTGAGATCACACAAAAGATATACCTTCTTCCAGTGACATTTCAATTGTTTCAAAAGGAGTTTAAGTATGAGTGATATTACTGATTGATTTTTTTTTTCGTACTTTCACTACTGAAATTGCAACACCATCATAACCAGAAGAGTTGATTCTTTGGTTCATTTAACATGAGACTCTAATATCACAATTGGATATGCAACTCTTTCCAAAGATGAAATTCACTTAAGGGCAGCTAGGGATTCACTGAGGGACAGAAGATGAAGTTCACACTGAGAGAATATCCAATGGGAACACTGTTGCCCCTAAGTACCTGTCTTTATTAATTAAACCACGCAAGAAATGTGCTGTGCACTGATGCTGAGTTACAGCTCAGAGACATCTGAATCTCCTTCTTACCTATTTTAATGATGCTGCTCAGTTCATACAGAAGCAGTTGGTTATCTCCTCCTGTATCCAGGCGCTGCTCTATGTAGCTGTTTAATTCATACACTACACCTTGCATATTCGTATCCTGGTACTATGGAAGCAAAGATGAGAAGAACATTTTAGAATAACTGAGATGCATTTTGCAGGTTAGAAACATACAAATTCATTAAAAATAATATGTTAAGATTTCAGTACTGAGCCAAGTAGAGCTGTCCTAATCCAGCTGCCTGAAGAGCAAGAACACTGCTAAGCAAGAGGCACAGCACTCCACCCTCTGTTCATTAGACTTTTGTTCAAAGCACATTGAGAACATCACTGAACAATTAATAATCACCTAAACTGAGCCAGGGTCATGGATAATGTCTAAAGAAAATGAGAGAGATAGTAATTATCAAGTAAGCACACTGTCACCATTGAGTCAAGATGACACAGACTCCAAAATCAGAAGGCTAACTCATTTTGTTAGGAAACCCATTCCTTTTTATACTCTAGTTCGCTACAGGTGGACCTGATTGGTCCTTCAATCAAAACACAATCACCATTGGTTAATTAAGAAATCACCCATCTGTAAACAACCTTATGGGCAAAACAGCTTATCACAAAAGATCTGCGGATTATTTACAATTCTTTCTCTCCAGCTCCCTCAGACCAATTCATGGGAAAGCTTATCTAGCTTTCTCTCTCTCTGACCAGACTGTTACATCCAAGTAGACTTCAACTCCTTCCTTTCAAGCTCCTAGCCCACCAGGAAAGGAAGCAAGCAACTGCCTTAGCTAGCATCTTCCACCTCAGATTCATGTGCCAAATGACAGAACTGTGCCAAGCACCAGAACTTTCAGGTGGTGGTAGCTCAGGAAGCTCTGCCTTTCAAATACAGAAGCAATTAACATCAATCAAGTGAAGGACAAAAATCACAAGTCAAAATCATGCTAGCCACTGTGGCTTCATAGGCATTTGTTTCAAGTGATGGTGGCAGACACAAATCAAATCTGTTGGCAGATTACAAATCAGTTAGGATATTTAGATAGGAGCCATGGGGTGCTGATTGCTGGTATGATGGAACAGCATGGTATGGTTAAAATCTCACAGGAAAGGAAATGCAACCTCCCTTCAGGGGTCCAGCTGCATTTGTTTATCCATTTCCCAAGTTATGAAGGGCTGTTAAAAACAGCACTAAATGTGTATGTGTAGCATGACAGCATCACAAACAATCATTTCACAGGAAGCAATACTTGGCACTAAGTAAAGATTTATTACCCTGCCCAAAACTGGCAATGTGGAAACTAAATAAAGTAATATGGTCAGTTACTTACTGAACTCCATGATGCAGTAAATTACATTGCTTAAACTAAAAATTAAGCTGGCGATATTTAGACAAATTAATTTTTCTTGAAAGAGTAAGGCTTAGTCTTCTGCTCATTCATACTTCAGAGCCAAATTTACTATAGATCAGACTAACTACAGTGGAAAATACCATAAATGTTCAGAGTATCACAGTCTAGCCCACTACCACTCCAGTGTTTATGTGCATATGTGTAACTGCTCAATGTCTTCCTAAATCTTCTCTGCCTGTAAATATGGGTAAACCTCTACATGTGATACTTACTGATGGATTAAGCACATACACGATATATTTCATTATATTCCCTCTCTTATTTCCATGCATACACACACTATGCCAGGAATACAGAGCATGTAAAGATATATATTTAGGATATATTTTGATGCTTCATGTAAAAAAAAACTAAAAAAGCTACACAAAAAAAAAAAAAAAAAAAAAAAAAAGGGTTTTTGGGAAAATAAAAATTCCCCCTTT